TTAACAACCAACCATAGTCATGATATCTTTTCTACTTCTTTGTCCCTTGGAGACATTTTAACCTTTTCTATGATGCCAGAAACAAAGGATTATGACTTTAAACGGGGAATAACCAGCTGGGGAAAATGAAGTTGTTCAAAGACTACTGCACATCTGGAGGCCGCATATGAAGACAGGCAGACACCGTGGCAGAACAGGCCACCGATCTGGATGGGCCCTGTCACATTTCCCTACAGCCCCACTGGGGCCATGCTGGGTTTGTCTTAGCATTCTGCCCTGCCTGGCTCTCAATGTGTTAGCAGTGCTCTTGGCTCTGACAGCATTTTCTTGGGAGTCTGCTTGGCTGTATTGACTTTTTTAAAGATGTGTAAGGATTCTGCTGTGCTTATCACCTTTGGGATAAGCAAATCATTCCCTTCTTCCTGGGTACAGTTACCTCTGCAGAGCCCTTCCAGCTCCTAAGTGTGAGACCTAGAATCAAGAGTGTCTGTCTCTTAGCCCGTGTTTTAACTCACTGTCCTGTAGGGCTACCTGAGAGTTAAAAGCAACATGGAAAAGATAAAAGCTCTAACATGTGACAACAGCAAGGGCATGTGGAGAGTACAGCAGGCTCTCAGAAACACTAAGCTGGAGGATGCTATACCATTCTTCCCCTGAGCACTCCCATACAGAGGAGACTGAAATCTTTGTCTATTAACTTCACACACAGCCAGTCACTCTGTGAGCACATATCAGTTCCTTAATGTGCTGAGCTGCATGACACAAGGCTCCAGGCAAAACCATCCCACAAGATCCACAAGCCCCACGCACTTGGCCCTATGTGGACCCTTCTCAATGATTCAGTCAGGAGCCAAGTATCTAAGGCAAAAGGTTTAAGAAACGAATAAAGCTGCAGAGGAGAGCTTGCGTTTCTTTTATAACTGAGGTTTTTCTACTTGGAAAATGGATAACTTCTTTTGGCCATTTTCTTTCCTTTGGAGTTGACTGATTTTCACTAAGCTTGGTAGACAGCACTTTCTGTTTATTTATAAGCCAGTCAGGCACCTTGAAAACCAAAAGGAGTGGTCAAAGTTTTAAATGAACTGATGCTCTATGACTGTGCTTCATGAATCATTAGTGGGACTGATACAGCATTAATGTTAACAAGAGTAAAAATTCTATTTTCTCTATTAAGAGATCCAAAACAGCAAACAACTTGAAACATTATCTCTATTTAGCCTGTGGCACATACATGCAGGCAGGTGGTAGAGCTCAGAGATCAACAGCCTGGGTCCAGAAGTCAGCTGGTCTCACCCTGGCTCCCCACAGGCATAGGAAAATTACTTAATGCCTTATACTCCACTACAGAGGTTGTTTCCTCACTTGTAAAATGGGTAGAACTCTATACACCTAAGAGGGTTGCAGGATAAATTAAAAAGTGAGCCGCTGAAACTGCAGAGTGGGCTCTAAGTGAACAGCCTTCTATATGTGCTGCTTAAGCAAATGACTACAATTTGTTTTCATTCGCTGGGTCAGGTAAGGTAGAATTTAGAAAGAGATGCTCCAAAGATATCACCCTGGGACTCTTTGCCAAGAAAAATGTACATGCATCTAATTTCAATCATTCTAATAATTACTGAGATATACTCATTTAGAGAGGGCTTGCTGTGCTATTAGAATCCTCCCGTCTTCTAACACTTGAATCTCAGCTCCCACATTTCTGTTCCTTAGTCCTTACACACGAGGTCAGAAATCAAGGCAATTTGACATAAGATAGGGAAGTAAAGGTAGCTAACTAGGGTGAAGTTTCTGGTGGAGCAAGATACTCTTCTGGTGGCTGGAGGAAAAAAATAGTAAGACAGGTTTCTATTGGGAGGGGAATATTAGGAGGCTTTAAAAGGGAAAATCAGAATGTATATTTGACTTAATGTCCTAATAAAACCAGATCAGAAAACAAGTGAGAGACCAAGTGACTTGCACCTGGTCCCGGTAGGTGGCGTGGAAGTGGCAATCCAGGTCTGCTTACCAGAGTTCAGTGACACAGGTATCACACCACAATTTTCTGGTTGTCAAAAGGGTGGTTTATGTATCTGACCTTTGGACACTTTTATGAGGAACACTACTTCTCCTGGGGCTTTCACGAGTATTGTCCTGGTATCCCATGCATTTGCTCATCCGTCCTCCACTCACAAAGCAAATACTCACTGAGCGCCTACTGTGTGCTGGACTTTGGGTGGATGTGGAAATATAATATGAGAGTTCCACAAATATCAGTAAGTTAATAAATAATTCAGTGCTTATCACATAATAAAATGACAAGATAAATTAAAGACTAGAGTTAAATTTTGAAGTTATTATTTGTGGGTAAGGCATGTGTGTGGTGTAGGTATGTGCTTAATGCTTAATTTAATAAGCAATGCGAAGGCACGGAGCATGGAGCTGAGGCTCTGCAAAGTACACCTCCACCATCGCTATTTACTTAATGAACACTCCTGGGTACTCTTTACATTGAAAGATGGTTCATTAGATTTGTGCATCTGCCCTTCTTAGCAATCTGTTGTGTTCCTGATGATGGCAGGAAAAAACGTGAACATACCATTTTCAGATATGTTATGAGTAACTCAGCTTCCAATGATTACAAAGTCATAAAGAGCTCAGGATGGCTAATTTCAGGAAAACAATCTGTCTGAATCATTCTCTTTCCATTCCTATTGGAACACTACTTCTCCAACTTGGAGATTTCAAGTACTAACCCTTAAAAAAACCATCTAACCACCTCATATATTATTTTCAAACTATGGAAATAAGTATATTTTTAAGATATCAAAAAATGAGTCCCTTCAAAAATGGCTCAAAAATCACCTCCTTCTCGAGGTTTCCCCCTTTCATCCTAATCAAGGCAACCACCACCTCCTCTGGGCTCCCCTCCCACATTCTAAGTTATATACTGCAATCTGCCCCAGGGGCTGGTCAGCTGTAGTGTGTGTACAAATAAGCTCTTGGAATGCAATAAAAAAGTCACTGTTTATTTTTTAAACTTTGTCCCTGTGTCAGTACTTGCTACATACAATAAAAATTTTGAACTGAGTAGACCGAAGGTTAAGTTTCCCTAAAAGGGGCCTTACATATGAAAACAAACTCACTCATTTGCCCCCCTTAGACAACATTTACTCAAGGCCTTCTGGGTTTTGGCACCATTAAGGGCACAAGGGGAGACTGGGACACAAACACAAGTGTGAAAATGTCCCTGCCCTCGGAGAATGTACAGCATGCTCCTCAGAGGCTGAGGGTGACAATCCTATAGAGATGCTCTGTGGAGGGAGCATATATTTCCAGACAGTGCCTCGGAGAAATAGCCATATTCTTGAGAAGAGATGCAGAAAGGTCCTTTCACTTCTCTCATGAAGAAAGCTAATACACAAAAACAATTTTCAACATTCTATTTAGTGGATTCTTCTGAAAAACCACAGTCTTGGGCAAAAAGACATGGCCAAGTAACCTGGGTTCATCATTCACTACCTCCAGTGGTGGCCTCTGTCCAGCTGGTAGACTGTCGAATGGAGAGAGGCCCCCGAAGCCTGCAGGCTGAGGAGCCTTGGTCCTTGCCCTCCAACCACCTACAGAATGCGGCATCGTGACAGAAAATGCAGCACCGGAAGGTAGCATTTAGTTATTATTCTGTAATTTATTTCGAGTGGGCTGAAAACTCAAGCGATTGAGATGGTGGGGAAGACGTGTAAGACTTAATCTGAGTTTTGTTAAATTGACCCAGGAAAAATGCAGGTTAAAGGTGTTCTGTGTGAGATGCTGACTAAAGATTCTTCATACAAAGATTTGGCTTTAAGCACTGCTGCTGTGCTCATCTGCCCTGAGGAAGAGAGTGAGGGGATGAAACCATCCCTGCCTTCAAGGTACTGAACAGCATACACCAATGAATAATTAAAATACAGTGATGTCAGTGCCACAGAGGTAGGAGTAAGATACACCAGCAGCCCATAGGGGACAGTGCTCAACTCTGCCTAAAGCAGGAAAAAAGACAGACCATGCCTAATCATTATTGGTAGTAAAAAAGGAGTTTTCACATGAGACTCTCTGGATACTTGTCAAATTAACTGATTTACAGATGATAAAGAGAAAAATCATTCATTCAACAAACATTTGATTGCATAGCTTGTACCAGAAATGGCTGGGTTGCTGTTATTGAATTGTATAAATTTACATAGAAATGAGTGTATCCTAACATCCCCAGATATTTATTATTGGTCAATTAAAATGCAAAAGCCAGAGTTTCCATGGATTCTGCTGCCTCAAAAGATAAGTGTGGCATATACCTGGTCCCTAAAAGATGCAGCAGCAAAATGTTCCACTTCCTCCCTAACAGACAAGTAGAAGACAACTGTGACAGACGCTATACTCACTGGTGCGAATCGCTTTCATGTTGCCATGACGAAGAAACCTGCAAAGCCCCAAGCAGCCCTGAAAAGGACGGGAAAATCCCTACGCAGATCTCAATGGTGTCAGATTCTATAATGCCTCCTTCAGAAGCATCCTCAAGCCTCAAAGGACCGCTACTGTCAGAGTTTTCAGCATTTTGTGCAGAATAAAAGTTTTCTTCTACAACTGGTAAAACAACTGGCTGGTTTTTGAGATCCTAACTTCCTGCCAGACCCTGTCATGGTTCAATACTGCTAGAAACCCTATACATGGATTTCCTTTTGTCCTGCAGACACAGGGGAAGAAAACAATCTTCCACAACAGTTGGATGCTCTTCAAGAAGCCGCCATGGCTGCTCTGAGCAGCTGCTCATTTCTGCACAGAAGAAATGAGACACGAGATTCTGCTTCCAGTTTTATGAGGAGCAGTTACCATTAAGGGCAGTGAGTGAAGGTTATCATACCCTGTTCTGCCCAGCAGCATCTATTGTACAACCGAGGCAACCTGCCTGCTCCACTCAGAGCCCACCATGCAGCGTTACCCCAACTGCTGAGCTGGGCTGATTTAAGCCTCGGGTCAATACCTACCAGTAAGGTGAGGCTGTGCTCCCGCAGCATCCCATACTGTTGGACAAGCTTCTCCCGGGTCACGCTGGGGAGCTCGGGGAGCTGCTCCCGGATCTGGTCAATGTTGACCACCTGCTGCGGGTCTGCGCCAGCAGGCAGAGACTCTGAGTCGTAGAGCAGCAGGGGAGGCAGGTTGGGCTCGGGAATAAACCTAGACAGAAAGGGGACAGGCCTGATGCTGAAGTATTTAGTTTAATAAGAAAAAACTCGACTATCAGTATGAAAGTTTCTGTGTAGGGAGACCATGTCACTTGCACATATTTTCTAATATCTTATAAAATCAATGTTGGCCCCTTGTTTCCTAGGAACTAGTCTTTGCACAAGTGTAAACTGCAGCTAGAAACACCAACCCTGCTGCTCTCCATGCTCATGAACTAGTGACGAGTGAGAGGCACAACACGGTTCATGCCACGTTGTGATGTGTACTTGGGGATGAAGTATATATTCATGAAGACATATGACCTAATGAGAATGTACTCAGAGAAAGATGACTTCCCTTCATTTTTAAATTTCTACTATTTTTAACAGTATTTGTGTAATACATGAAAAGCCAAAGAATAAGAAAACATTTCTTGAGAAGCAGAAGCAATGAGTGGATTTTGGCTAAATAAAATATAGAAGCTAGAGGGGAGGGAGGGGTGAATAAGTACAGACAGATTTTTTAGGGCAGTGAGACTATATGTATGACATGTCATCATACATTTCTCCAAACCCATAGAATGTCCAACATAAAGAGTAAACCCTATGAAAACTATGAATTTTAGTTAATAAGGTATCAATTTCAGTTCATCAATTGTAACAAATGTACCACATTATACACTAATGCAGGCTGTTATCAGGGCAATTGTGAGGGGAAGAGAAAGTATCTGGTATCTGGTATATATCAAGGAACAAATAGGAACTCTGTAATTACCACTCAACCCTGCTATAAACCTAAAACTGCTCTAAAAAAATAGTAAATTTTTTTTTAAATGTGGAAGCTGCATCACTGCATATAATCTTATGAAACATAGGTGTCCTTCACTGTTTTATTCCGGCATCAATTGTTTTCTCTCTGCTTGTACTTGTCAAAGGGTTTATGTAAATGCAGGAAAATGCAAAACAAATGGTGGCTCCAAGATAATAGATTAGAAGTGTAAGCAACCCATCACCTTGATGCCAAATCGATGCTATGAATCAGTCTGATACCTGAAGGTAAGAGGTACTCCCGTCTATTAACCTGGGGGACTGAGCTGAATGAAACCACTGGAGTAAAAGTCTACTCCACACTCAGAAAGTGGAAGAAACAAAACAAGGGCAACACTGGAGGGCACAAGTTCTTGGGAAGAACAGACTGAACCCAGAAGATCACAGCAATTAAAGACATCTCAACTCTGACATACACCATGGGAACCTCCTAAGGTGAAGTTCCCTCTAAGGGTTTATGAGCTTCTCTTTCCCACATTACGATGCTTCATGAAGGAGAGGTGGGCCTAACCTTAACAACTCGGATACATAAAACCTCAATCTTTGCAATCTGTCAAACTCAGTGGGGGAAAAAATGAAAGGTTCAATTTATCTTAAGCCTCTCATTATTTGCTATTTTTGAATCTCCAAGTCCAACTTGTTTATCAATTAAAAAGTATCACCTGGCCCGGCCGGGCGTGGCTCAGCAGTTGAGCGTCGACCTAGGATCCAGGAGATCGGGGTTCGATCAGGGCACATGCCCAGGTTGTGGGCTTGATCAATGACTCTCTCATCATTGATGTTTCTATCTCTCTCTCTCCCTCTCCTTTCCTCTCTCTGAAATCAATAAAGATATATTAAAAAAAAAAAAGTATCACCTGAAGTTTGAAGGGATATGCCAAGAACAAATATATCTTTTTTCATTTCTTCTCAAGAAACTTCGGTGCCTTACTGAATCTGTTACTGAATGTAAGAATAGAAACAGGCTAGGCCCCATCCTCAACGGCCACCCTCTTAGTTCAATTATGGCAGCTCTCACACAGAGGTGGGCAAACAAGCGTCTTCTAACAGTTGAATCCTGTCTAATAAGGCACTCCAAGGCTACCAAATTAAGAATATATTCTTTCTCTCAGCATACACTAAAATAGGAAGTCTGGATTTTCCATCATGCAACAATAACAAAAAGTGGTTCCTAAAAACTATTAGTGGATTTGAAATATGCCCTAACCCCAAATACATAATGCCATTTGACAAGAGGGGTAATTACCTGTAGTCTTGCTTTCCTTCTTTGTCCCTCATTGGCACGGTGCACCTATGATGGTTAAACAAGAAAACATTAAACAAATCTTTCACGCGGCACTGGCTCACACACACGCAGAGAGGGGATTCCCTACCAATAAGGGGTGCAGGCAAATTCGAGCTCTCAGCCTTCCTTGGGAGACACTTTATGACTACATTAAAAAATAATATTAAAGAAGAAAAATGCTTAGAATGCTAATTTAAAAAAAGAAGAAATTGCTTCAATGCTTCTAGCTTTTAACCAGCTCTAAGTCTAGGCTTCTGAGCTTTGTTTAATCTTCTGCTAAAAGTATAAAATCCTCAAAATTTCTTAGTTAGAAAATTAAAGTCAATGTTATCTAAACAAAAAAAGGCACCTCTATAACCAGCTCTAACCTTTCTTCTACCTATAGAATTTGAGGAAATAAAAATTCTTGCTGCAAAGCAGGGAACCTGGAAGCAAGAGAAGGGCAAGGACCTAAGACTAAGCACCATGTAATGAGTCTGGTTCAGTTTAAACCTTTACCAGCCCTGTGGGGTATATTATAACCCTGTAGGATATAGTATTTTCCTAACTTTACTAATGAGGAAAGAGAAGTGCAGGGAAGCTAGTGCCTTTTTCAGAGTCACACAGCTGATCTGTGGTGAGCCCAGACTGGAGACCACCCAGCTGCACTCAAGACGCTTGTCAATGCAGACTCACCCCAGCTTGTAATCAAAGGAGCGAGTTTCATTCAGAATTTCACCTCCATTCTCAAGTTCTTTGATTTGCCTCTGAATTTCATAGTCTAAGAAGAACACAGTAATTTAGTATCATATTTTTTATTCCTTTTATTTAGCCAAGTAATATTTAAAATATCTTAAATATTTTAAAATACTTAAAAACCTTTTAAAATCTTTAACTCAAAAAATAGTCAAAGAATCATTTATAATAATTCTTCCCATGTACAGTACTCCTTCCTTATCCACGGTTTCGTTCTCTGTGGTTTCAGACACCTGCATTCATCCAGTCTGAGAAGATTAAATTTCCCCAGCCACAGACAATGTGTGCTCCTGACATCACTGCTCGATGACCCAGGATCATCTAAAGCAGAAGATCCACCTTCTGATGTATTGTCAGAATGTCAAGATAGCCTAATACTATGTGAGAATGCCTACGTCACTCACCTCATTTCCTCTCAGCACCTAGGTATTGTATCATCTTACAACATCACAAGTCAAGGGTGAGTAGAGTACTTTAAGATATTTTGAGGGAGAGACAGACATAACTTTTATCACAGTATATTATTATAATTGTTCTATTTTATTATTAGTTATTGTTAATATCTTACTGTGCCTAATTTATAAATTAAACTTGATGATAGGTATGCATAGAAAAAAGCATAGTATCTATAGGGTTTGGTACTATCTGCAGTTGCAGGCACCCATGGGGGGTCTTGGAATATATCCCCTGTGGATAAGGGGGGACTACTATATATTATAGTTTCTTCTTGTTGCCATCATAGAATGGTGCTTACAAGGGTCTTTTAGGAAATTCTACTCTCTCCCTTTTTGAGAAAACCTGGGTTCAGAGAGATTAAGTGACCCCGTGCAGATTAAACAACTTGACAAAAGAAGGGCTGGGGCCACTATCTAATCCAAGTGACCCCAGATCTAGAATTGTCGCCTAGCAAAAATTCTTCTCCTGGAATCCCCCAATGCCACACGAGAAGGCCCAGGCTAGGCAAGCAAATGAAGAAAGACCATATGGATAGAGAAGCCTAGCAGACATCCAGCACCAAGGCCCCAACGTGTGAATGAGGTCATCTCAGACCCTTTGTTTTAGCTGGGCTGCCAGCTTCCACAGCCACATTAAGGACCTGAGGCAGGAACAGCAGAAAAACCACCCAGTGCACAGAAGTGTGCACAGTGAAATGGTTATTGTACAAGCCACTAGGATTTGGCTTGTTACACAGCAACAGAAAACTGACACTAAGACGTACATTAGGAATAACAGCTGATACTCACCTATTGCTTTGGCCAAGAACCTGGCACTGTTGAGATTCTTCACTTCAGTCCGAACACCCAAAGGCTCCCCAGGGCGATGCACAGATATATTGGCATCCACTCTCAACTGGCCCTCTGAAAAGAGAGAAAAATGACAATTCTTTAGAAATTCTGAGGCAGCATGATCTTTTAAAGACAAGAGAGTGTCCAGGCAAGCAATATCTAACTTTCCTTGCTGTTTAGTTACAGCAACCTAACTTTAGACAAGGTAAATTGGTCCTGAAGTACACAGCTGGTACTTTTATCTACGTAAGAGAATTCTGGTCCCAAAGCATCTTGAGTGTGTGTGTACGTGTGTGTATATGTGCACTTGTACACACATAGAGAAAGGAGAAATTCTAGATACACCAGCTGGGGACATCTCATTTCTTTTGTGCCAAATAAGAAAAACAACATGTTAAAATGGAGATTGACTCAGTAGTTTTATTCTCCATTTTTTTCCAAAGTGTCAGAGCTGGGAGTTAGGAAGGCCTCGGAAATGACTGTCTGATAGCCCTTCATGTTCTCCAGTGGAATGTGGATTTCCAACAGTGATTCTGGAAGATTAAGAAGAATCCCTGAGAATTTACAGCTCAAGGGCAAGAGTCAGACCTGGGCATTTTCCCTCCTCTGGTACTCTAACAATCCCCTCCTTCCACAGACAAGACTCAGAATCCATCCTGACGGCTGTAAGGATCTGCTGCAGTAGAAAGAGCTCCTCTGAAGGGGAGAGTGTGGTACGACTCAGAGGGAGCTGTCCCCAAGTTGGGAGGACCCTAGAGGCCCCTTCAGATTAAAAGCAATAACCCCCAAGGAAACAGGAGGCTTGTGGAGAGGACTAAGAGGCTCTTGAGGAGGAGAGGGGAGAAAAATCCCAAGACAAACAGGGAGGTGAAGTTAAGATACACTCAGGTCTTGCACCCTAGATAGTAAAGCTCAAATTCTCTGTTTTGCAATTTCACTTACAATATTTTAAATAGGACAGAATAAGAAGACAAAATGCTAGATTTTTATTTTTTCCTAGGCAGGTTTTTAAATTGAAAAATAATCTGCCAAACCTAAGTGTTCTGATAGGCTGAATAAAGAAATCCATTTCCTCAGATTTCACAGCAAATGCATATTAAAATAATAAAGCGGTATAAATAAATTCCATGCCAAGAAAGGAGACCCTTGGCACTGGTCTGTCATTCCCCCAGTGCTGAGCTGTGGGGCTCGATCTCCAAGCTGGGGACCAGTGGCTTGGCTGCTGCTTGCTCTGCTCTCCACTCATTCCCCCAGGAAAGGGAAGAGCTCACTCACTCTGCAAATGCAACTCCACGCACGCTGACAATCAGGGAAACGGTGCCTTTCAGCTCGGAAGTTACTCCATGTCGCTACACTTTTCAAAATCCTATAGCCCCCTTTGAACAATTTGTGCTTACTCAAATCTCAAAAAGTTCCAACTACTCCTGACATCATGAGACTCAGTCTAGGAACCCTGAAGTCATCTTCTGCTTCTGTTTTCTTTGTCCTTTATATCCAGCTGTCAACTAGATCCTATCAGTTCTTCCCTCCAATTATACCTCATACCTGTCACTACCTCTCCACTTCCACTGTTGCCACCCTCACACGAAAATTCTTGCAACTGCAAGCCCAGATTACAGAATTGCATTCTGACTTTTAACACAGCAACCCCTCCTCGCCCAGCCACCCAAGGTGCAGCTCTGACTTTCATCCTGCGAAGGTTGTTTCAGCATTCCCGCTGCTTGCTCAAGTGCACGGCCAGCTCCTAGTGGACCATCTCGTCTCCTCTGCCTGGTATTCAAGAGCCCTCATCTGGTCTCGGTTGACACAACCCACATTTTCCCACTATGTATTCCATGAGAAGGCTCTCCTCCAATCAGGGGAGCTATCTCTATATTGGGTCCATACTGGCTCTGCTGGCTCCCCAGCACTCTCTTCATCAGTGTTACTGTCCCTTCTTCAACCTCTGCTCATCCTTTAAGGTCCCACTCAATGTTACCATCTTCTCCTCCTAAAAACCCTTATCAATAAGCTGGCCTCCACTATTGGCTCCTCTGAATTATTAGAATATACACAGCCAATACCATATAATCTAGCACATGTCTATAGCCTATTCTGAGTAAATCTTATCTTTAAGACCAGAATAGCAGACCTTTGAAAAATGGGCCCAGATTTTAAATCCCTACCCCTCTTGCCTTCCCAAGGATATCATTCCTTCAGTCATCTCCTTCCCACATCCGTTATTAATCTCCCTTTCTCAGCACTATTTCTGATACATAAATATATAATAGTATATTTAAAAAATATATTATATTTAAAAAACAACAAACCAAAAACCAAAACTCTACTCCCCAGAGTCCAATTCTCTCCCCATCGTTCAGCTACTGGTTTCTCTGCTTTCCTATTCAGCAAATCCTCACAAACAAGTTTTGTTTGTTGCACATATTGTCTCCATGATCTCACCTCCCATTTACTTCTAAACACACTTCAGCTTGGCTTCTATTCACACCTCTCGAAAAATGCCTTGTCAAAGTCACCAACAGCCTCTCGCTGCCAAATCCAGTGGACAAAGGACACATTCTCTCTTCACCTCACGGATACCTCAGCCGCGTGTGACATACCGACTAATCCTTCTTTTCTGAAATACCTTCCTCTCTCAGCTCCTGTGACCTTACGCTCTCTTGGTTTCCCTCCCACCTCCCTGAGAGACTCCATTTCCACTGCATTTGCTGATGTCTCCTTTCCTATCAAGCTCAGGACTGTCTTCTTACACTCTTGCTGTGGGGGCATATGGTTTAAATACCACATATTGCTGATGACTCCTAAATTCATCTCTTCAGCCCAGACCTCTACGGTGAGCTCCACACTGATCTCCAATGTCTGCTTGACACCTCCTCTTGGGAGGTCTCATAACTATTTCAATTTCTGAAACTAAATCCTGATTTGCCGCTCATCCCACAAAGCCATTCTCATCCTCACCTTTGCAATTTCAATAAACAGCACCAACACCTGGCTCCTCAGCCTTCCTTAAAGGCATCTTTGCTTTCTTCTTGCCCCTTGCCTTGTATGCCAGCCTGTTAACAAATCCTGTTATTTCTAAAAACCATCTTGAATCTACCCATCTTGATCTTTCCACCTTCACTGACACCAGCCCTGGCCACAAAAGCATCGGCTTCCATGTGAACTATATAAAAGCTTCTTACCTGGTCTCCTTGCTTCCTCTTACCTTTCTGAAATCTACTTTCGCAAAGCAGACAGAGTGGTTTTTCTAAAACGTTAGACTAAGTCATTCCCTTGCTTAAAAGCCCTTCAATGGCTTCCCACTGAATTTGGAATGAAACCCAAACTTCCTGCCATTATCAGTAATCTATCCCTTGCCGGCCTTTTCAGCCTCACTTGAGGCCACATTCCCCTGCTCATTATGCTTTCCCTTCAGTGGCCCTTTGTTCCCTATGTTAACTCTGAGCATATCCTAAGATTTTTCATTCAGGGACTTTGCCTTAGCTTTCTCCTTCAGTGCTCGCACCCTCACTCTACGCCGGCTGGGCCTGGAGTCATTCTTCAGGTCTCAAATAAATGTTGCCTCCTCCGAGAGGCCTTCACCTTCCAACATTACTCTTTATCATGGCACCCTATTTATTTCCTTAATGCACTTATCACTATAATTGTTTTTGTTTTATTTGTTTTTATTTTATTTTTTTGAAATATATCTTTATTGATTTTAGAGAGAGGAAAGGAGAAGGAGAGAGAGACAGAAACATCAATGATGAGAGTCATCGATCGAGCCCGCAACCTGGGCATGTGCCCTGACCGGGAATCGAATCCCGATCGCCTGGACCCCAGGTCCACGCTCAACCGCTGAGCCACGCCTGGCCAGGCTTGTTTTATTTGTTAATGAATGTTCCTCCCTCATGAAATAAGCTTGTGAATATAGCAGGAACAATGTCCTTTTTACTCTACATTCAGAACCCTGAGCAGGGTCTGGTAATTGTTCAATAAATTAATACCTTGTTGAATAAGCCAAAACTCTGGTGTCTTCCTGAGCAATGAGTAAGTGGACTGGTTACTGTCTCACAGCAGGTTCCTGATAAATTCTAAAGTTCTGTCTAATAGTACTAAACCAAAGCTGGACTCATCTGAAAGGCCCATTCAGCTCAAAGGAAAACATCCAAAGTATGCCGAGCTCTACTCAACCAAATTTCAATACTTGAGAGGCAACTTCGCTGGAACTCAGGGAACCCTGAATTGGACCTCACTTGCTTTTAAGAACGAAAGCATCTTTTACAATTTAGAATTCTAATTTGGAAATGGAATAAAAGCATGAATTTCAGTCTCTCTCAGAGAAGACCATGCTATATAAATGTCTGAGGGGAATCATTTAGTATCCTGCAGTGTTGAAAGAGAGTTCCCTAGCCTGGATTCAAATACGGTATCAAACATTAACAAAAGACATTCTATCCAGTGAAGACAAAATACCTTTTAAACAAATTAAGTTAAATTGCCTCAAGTGCCCAAAAGCCTTAGCAGTCAGGTTCTGCAACACCAAGGGAGGGCCTTCATTCACATATCATGGGAATGTTATCAAGCTCAATTTCTATCCTCTAAAAGAAGAGATTTGTAACAGGAAAGCTAAAGAACTATACCACTGAGCACAGTGATACGGTACAGTTACATTATTTTTTTTCTAAAACACATTCGCACATCAGAAATATAACATCAGGACAGAAAGCTGTTTCTGTAAACAGCAGGGGCCTGAGGATTTAGTGAGAAGTCTGTTAAGCTATCTCATTCTGATCACTGAATACTCTCCAGAACTTAAATAACAAGGTTTGACAAAGAGAAAAAGCGGCCAAATTTTATCAAACATATTTCACAAAGCGTATTCATCTAAAATGAGTGGTGATTCTGTAAAGTAATACTACTTACTATTGTTAAAATTACCTAAGATAGTGAGCACAGGCTATTTGTTGGGACCTGTGATAAGTTTTATACACATTATCACATTCATTCCCTATAATCTAGTTTAATGACAAAGTCACTCAGACATTCTTTAGGCATTTCAAACTTGACATTCAAAATGGAATTCAGGTTTTCTCCCACAAAAGTACTCCTCTCCCAATCTTCTGTCTCATAAACCATCTCCCTGTCTCAGGGACACCATCTAACTCTATCTGAAGACTTGGATGACTTCTTTCCCCTTTGGTTTCTTCCTTTCCCTTTCCATACACAATTATTTGGTGACTCATTTTATAAGCGTGGAAAGTGAGACTAAGAGAAATAAAAAACCTTGCCCAGGTTCCTACAGCTAGCAGTGGTAGGACAGGATTCCAACCCAGGTCTGAGACCTTGGCGCCATCAGCACCCATGGTACCCACACTCTGCTATACTATCTTCAAAGTTATCTATGGCAGTTATGACATTATCGCGGTTGCCACTAGGAGGCAGTGTGATGTAGTGCTTAAAGAAAAGGTTCCTGGAGTCAGGCACATCTAGACTCAAATCCTAGCTCAGTCACTTGCGATCTTTGGGCAAAAAACCCCAACCTCCTTAAGCCTCAGTTTCCTCACCTGTACAACAGGCATAATAATACCTCTCTCTCAGGAATGTCATAAAGTTTAAATGAGATGATGAATTAATTTAAAAAATGCTTAGTGAACCAATGAGAACATGCTGAGTGTTCAAACTGAACAATATTATTGCCACTGAAACATTTAGTATGTCTATGTCAGTACCCATTCCACTCAACAGACCCCTTTGAGGATCTCAACAGTGGCAGTTGTCCACTGAGAAGGAACTGGCTTGGAATTTAAGAGTCATTCTCAAAGCACCCTCGGGGGTCCACAGGTGCTCCCCAGAGTGGCCCTCAGTTCCCAGGCTGCAGTCTCCAGTGTTGACACAATGGTCTCATGGTGGTGGGAGCAAAAGGGTCGGGGCTAACCCCTGGGGATGCTATGCAGACTTTCCTTCCCCACAACTACTGGAATCACTCTGCTGCTGTGCTATGGGCAACACTGTTGGATTTGTATTTAAAAGCAACAAGTATCATAGTAAATGCCATTTAATGAACCCTCTCAGCTGTCACTGAACTGACACGCTCTTGATGGTATGGTTTATCTCTTGGCAAGAACCCAGATGGGGCTACTTCTCAGCTAACAGGTGGCCTGTTCATTATTCCATAGGTTTGGTAGAAATCAGTTATTTTGAAGAAGAATGGAATAATAAAAACTCTTTTTAAAGCAATAAAGAATCAACACTTAGTGCATGAACAGATAACCATCCAACCTGCCACATTTCACTTACGTTCTGTGAAGAAAAAGCAGCATGAGCTGTACATCTAAAATAGAGAGTTTTCTTACTCTAAAACAGAGCCTCATTTCTCTAGAGCAAATCTGCAGGCAGCTAACTTTTACACCACTCACTCAGGTGGTGTTTTTCCAGTCTTTAGCTGAAAGAAGATAGCAAATTGGCAAGTTCTGTCTTCAATTCAACTTATATCAAGGCTCTGATGTAACAATTTGTTGCTTATAAGATATCCTATGTGACAAATGTAGCATTACAAATTCGGAAGTCCTGTAGCATACTACTGTATTGCATGACATAAAAAGGTTGGTAAATAGCATCATAAACTGACAGGGAGACGAACCATCACCACTGGTGGTGTTACCGGCACCCACTAGGACTTGTGATGGCTAACGTTATGTATCAACTGGACTGGGCCACGGGGTATCCAGATATTTGGTTGAACATTATTCTGGGTGTGCCCGTGAGGGTGTTTCTGGATGAGATTACCATTTGAATCCACAGAATGAGTAAAGCAGACTGCCTTCCCCACGGTGGGTGGGTGTCATTCAATCCACTGAAGGCCTAAATAGAACAAAAGGCAGGGTGAGGGGAATTCAGTCTCTCCACCTGTCTTTGAGCTGGGATATTGGTCTTCTCCTGCTTTTGTACTTGAGCTAAGACTGGCACTTACACCATCGGCCCTCCTGATTCTTAGGCTTTCACACCTGAACTGGAACTACACTATCTGCTCTCCTGGAGCTTGCTCTGTTGCAAGAACTCTCCCACAGCTTCCTGACTGCAGATCTTGGAACTTTTCAGCCTCCATGATCACATGAGCCAGTTCCTTACAATAAATGTCATTAGACATAAACATACATGTGTAACATACACACATTCTACTGGTTCTGTTTCTCTGGAGAACCCTAATACACCACTGTAGTGAGCTACAGATGAACAACTGTACATGCAGAATCTGTATACTTTCTCCACTCTGTCAGGGAGTGCTCTTGGGTGGCAGAAGTTTTTTAAAAAGCCCTTGTGAACAGAAAATAGGGAGACATATTAGCTTTCAGGGACTTCTGGGCCAGCAAAGCAGCATTAGGAAGGGGCCAAGGGAGTGAGCCATGAGGAAACTGAGCTTAACCAATACCTGTAATCTTTATGTCCATGTACAAATACTTAAAATGTACAGTTTGGCTGCAGGAGTACAAGTGGGTTTTTTTGTTTATTTTAATTTCCTACTATATTTCTACTAAATTTAAGATTTTATCTCAAAGTTAAAGTTTTGTGAAATCATAAACTTGGCTTATGGTTTATATAATTTGGCTTCAGCTGCACATGGATGAAAATTCTACAAAAGACGGAAAAGAAAGAGACCCTGAGGAAAAGCATCAACTAACAAAGAAGTGCCACCCACAAAGCTCTCACAAACTGAGAGGTGTTGCAGATAAACACAGTGTCTTCTTGCTGAGCAAGATGAACTGTTCAAACACATTATTTCATCAACTCACAACATTCTGATGCATGAAGCCAGACAGAGTTACTCCTGTAACTCCTAATCTCACACCCTTGGGCTCAGTGCTTCTGCACCATTGTTGTTAGTGTGTTTATTTTGGTTAAGGGCTCAGAAGAGAATCCAAGGAAAATTCTAAGAAAAAACAAAACAAAACCAGCAAAAAGCTGAAAAAAGGATGTAAACCACGTCAATGTAGCTGATGCAGAGAATAGAAGTTAAGTGCAAAGAGACCCGAGAAGCAGAAAGTGAGAAGGTAAAGGAGGAGGGACACTGCCTGTGGGCTTCTACCTGCCATGTTTGCCTGGCTGGTCCCCAGGGCTTGAAGTATCAGCTGCAGCTCCCTGACCGCTGTTGCCGCCTCTTCTCCACAGGACATGTCTGGCTCCAGGACCACTTCCAGAAGGCCAACTCCTACCAAACGAGAGGCAGAGTCAGCCTGACTGAGTTCTCCAACCTCATCAGCAGATAAGTTAGGCTGAGGTCTTTGGAAAACCCCGCATTACTGAAGGACTCTCAAAGTGAATCCCAACCCCTGAACTGTTTCTCTTTCCCCTTACTTTTTGATCTTTAACTTTGGTTCATTTCTTTTACAATCTGCTTAAGATATCAAGCTGTTGGGTCTGTGACTAAGTGGCTAAGTTTGTCTCATTTTAGGGGTGGGTTGTTAGCAGTAATCACAGTTCTCTGATCAGCCAGTACGTACCAATGCTGATACAGTATTATGATCTCCATCTGTGGGGTTCCTGGGCCTGTGTCCTCAATTGGTTTGGGGAAACTGGAAGGGAGAGGGGAGGCTGGCAGGAAAAGTAATGGAGACTCTCTAAGCCTACCCGCCCTGTTCAAGTCAATGAGCGTCTGAGACCGCAGGTCGTCGTGGAGGCTCTTGCCACTGTCTTGCTCCAGCTGGATCTGCTTGATCCTCACTATCTTGTTGATCACCTGACTCCGCTTCTTCCCCAGACAGACACTGTACGTCAAGCTGCCGTTCACAGCGATTGGGAGCCTCTGCTGGGTAATTTGATAGCCTGCCTGCACATAAACATGGGTTAGAGAGTCACTGTTCCACAAATAAAAGCTGGGTGCAGTTCACTACTCCTTTTAATGTCACAAAAGTATAGGCTAATGTAAAAATGCAACATAACAAAACAAACAAAAAAGAACAAAGGAAAAGGAGAAGAAAAACTAGTTTATGCCTTGTAGCCATAATTCAGCCTGGCCTCTTCAGCTTTTCCCATCCCCCTTTACCCTCCCTGGACATCTCCTGCCCCAAATAATGGTGCAATAAACAATGTGAATCCTATCTTCCCTACTGAAGTACCGTTGGGGGGGGTGGGGAATAACAATAATCTCATTGTCAAAGGCCTCTAAGAAAAGGATGTATTGTTTCCACTTAGCTCATTAGCCTAACCCTGCATCTGATTACTGGGCTCCTGACAGACCCTCCTTATTGGGAAGTGCTGGCTAAGCACGTTGCTATCTACCCTCAGTACGGCTGACAGCAGTTGCTAGTACATATAAGCTTGTTTTGTTCCTGTTCTGTAAGCTAACCAATTGTGCCAGCTGCCCTCCCTGACCCAACTTTCCTTGTTCCTCTAGCCAGAAATTGCTGGGACACTCACACTCAGCTAATGGAAAGCAGGAAGTACTAAAATACTGATGGATGTCACAAGGACTCCCTCACCTCCTTCTAAGTAGAGAGGAAGAATTACTTTCAAATGGACACATGCATCGACATATGCCAAAGAAATGGCAGGTCAATACAGAGAACTGGAGAACAGAGCGTGAGAGCTGAAGCATCTGCAGCATTTGCTGGGGTCCCTGACACTGTGTTCTCAGTACTTTACACCTCTTGATCCTCACAACAGTCCTAGCAAAGAGATACAGGGCACAGAAGGGATTAACGGCTTTGCCCAAAGTCACCGAGTTAGTAAGCGTCAATGTCAGGATTTGAACTTGGATGGTCTGGCTCCAAAGTCTCTGCTCCTAGCCACCAGGCCAGCAGTTTTCAAACTTGAGCTGCTTTAGAATCACCTGGCAGGCTGGTCAAAACACAGACTAGCTCCACCTGAAAAGTTTCTGATTTTGCAGGTCTGGGGTGGTGTTTGAGAATTTATATTTCTAACAAGTTCCTAGGAGATGCTGATGCTAGTGGCCCAGGGAACCACACTTTCAGAAACACTGCTTCAGGCCAACTCATTCTCTGTGTGGAACCAGGAAGTCTCAATCTGTAAAATTTAAACTCTGAGTAGGGCTGCCCAATAAAATACAGGATGCTCAGTTAAATTCAAATTATAATAATTTGAATAAGTTGCTTATTCAGATAAATAACAAATACTTTTTTAGTGTTATGTCCCATGTAATATTTGACAACACTAACTCTGGATTATCTGAGCTACCTAAGCCAGAAAGAATAGAAAGATACAGATAATAAAAACTTCTCATTTTAGTCCCATATTACTAAGTCTCCCACCTTAACCAAACTGGTTATCACTCTTAAAAGATGCAAAAATTTGGGTTCATGTTCTCTACCCTATGAAGCAGGAGAATTTGCTAAAAAGCTGGCAGCCAGAGGGGAACAGCAGCAGCAACTGGAAAATTTAGGTTCTAGTTGTATTTTGTATTTAATTTTCCTCCTGCTCTCACTCACTAAACAGCAGTGCACCCCCGTTTCCAGTTCAAGGAGAACATGAAGCAATATCATCACTGCTGTTTATCTAAATGTGAAGAAGGGCCGTACTTAGTATCAGAGGCTCTGATCAAATGAAACATGATTTGGGGAAATGCATTCAACCTTACAGTTTTGGTTCTGCCCAATGTTATAAAAAACTGCCTCTAGTTCACAATGGCTTCTCTGTAAGAAAAACACTTTCAAATTTTAAGGAAAAAGCACGTTAATATTGGGTTTACTGCTCAGCTGATTCCTGTTGTTAGGCTGGGCTTCTGGCTCATGGTTCTGCTTACTATCGTCCACTTACTTGCTCCTTGTGAGATGACAGAAATGTTTCCAAAGGTGACTGTCCTATTATTGGGAACTTTAACTTAAAAGAGGGAAGCTCTTGCTGTGTCTACAGAGCTACAGTACACATTTACAGTTGCATCAGCCCCTGAGTTATCTTTTGTCCTAACAGGCAATTAGAGCCAAACACCACGGCTGGCCTGAGCCTGGGAACACTGGCTTCTTCTACTCCCTGTTCAATTATGAGCGAGCCACCAGAAGCATGAGGCTAAGCAAGGAGTCGGCAATCAGGACAATTGCATCCAATCTAGTAAACATCGGGGGGCACCTGCTTCCATCAGGGCTGGGCAGAAATTCCCGCTGCGATGGACAGAGCTCTGATAGAAACATGAGAAACATAGCCCTCCTCCCTGGCTCCAAACCCCCCAGCTCTGAGAACTTACAGAGGGCGGATCACAAAGCATACTTACAGGGAGGTCTGCATAGAAGTAGTGCTTCCTGTCAAACAAGGACTTCTTGTTTATGTGGCAGTTCAGTGCCAAGCCTGTCATCACTGCTGCCTCCACGCACCTCCTGTTGAGAACCTATGGAAACACGACACACAGCTCGTCTCAGATCCAGTCTGAACAAATGCTTCTCCAATCCCTGATATCCCCCCCTAAATATTCAATTTGGCCCTTCAACAGGCATTATCTCTGGTCTGTGTGGGCAGCTGCAGTTCCTAAGGTGACTCTATCTGGAACTGGGGAAACTTTATATATAAAATACATGTGGCGGTGGGTCCCACTGGGCAGGTAATGAACTGCTACCTCAGGGGTCCTTTCCCCCAGTGCCTGGCATCAAAGTCAACAGTAGGGTCCCAGAAAAGCTCAACAGAGTATTTACTACATGGAATAAATTAATCTCACCCCCTCTGCAAGCAGAACAAGGCGTCAGAATGCACGAGAGGCACTGACTCCCGGGAGGAGGTTCAGGAAGCGGCTCACCGAGACCTCGGCGAGGCTGGGAAATCTGACAGAGCGCGAGCTCCTGGCAACTGCGGGGCCACAGCCATTCTTCAAGGGCTGGGAACCTGGCACACCTGCCCCGGCTTTCAGCCCAGACCCGGCCAACTCCGTACAGGCGGGTCTGAGCGCGCCCTACGCCCTGACTCTCCCGAACTGCGGGTCCCTCCAGGGCTCCGCGAGCTCAGCTCCTTCCGGACCCCATTCTTCCCCACGGGCAGGAGTGGATGGCCACGAAATGGCTGGCAACTTCCCAGGCCAAAGGATGTGGGCAGCTTCTAAGAGCTTTGGAGGAGGGAGGGTGCGTATAAGACAGAGAGCTAGAGAGGAGGAGGAAGAGCACTGAGTTCCGGAGCCAGGTCCACATCCCACCGGTGCTATGTGGATATACAGCTGGCTGACTAGAAGCTCAGTTTCCTCATCTCTGAAACTGACATTTAACATGAGCTTGTGGAGCAGATAAAGTAACAGCCAGAACAGCTACTCTACAGTAGGAATTCAATAAATAGTTCATTTTCCCTACTGTACTTCAGGGAATTTTTGAGGACATTGTGCTTGCTGATGAAACATTTCTATTTTTATTAGAATATTTATCATGTGCTTTAGCACACTTAGTATACTATTATGTATGCAGGGCTTCCCAGTTAAGCACTCTCACATCTAGCAGTGTATTTCACCTCACAGCAACCCTGCAAAAAGGAATCTATATTACTCCGATATTTCAGAAAAAGAAAAACTAAGATCCAGAGACACTAAGAGGCTCACCCAAAATCACAGAGTTGGCAAACAGTAAAGCGAGCTCTAAAGTCCACCTGTGCCCTTGCCTAGAGGGTGACAGGATCCCTGTGTTTTGGGGACTGGCTCTCCAGGGTGGGACAATGAGTGAGGTACCCACACAGGCCTAACTTGATGATCAAACACATATTTGAAAAACAAATCTGCACAACAAAACGTAAGAGGCATCTCTACATACTGCAATATACAACCTGCAAAAGATAATCCAAACACCCAATCTCCCTCCTGGTAACAGGATCACATGCCCCCTCCCCACCCCGCCCGCAAGCCAGGCTATAAAATGGAGCCAGCCACCTCACAGCCTCCATTTGGAGTTCTGCACTCTGGGCCGAATCATACTGCCAGCTCTGCAGTAATAATGGTTTTCACAAAGAGATGTGTGAGTGTGGGGAACAAGATGCTCTAATTATTGATGTTTTCGCTTGCTGTTTGGCATTTTACTGAACAGTGGTTACTGTAATACAAACATAGCTGGTGGACACTGCTGCCAAGTTCAGGCCTGATGATTCAGGTCAAGGCACACAAGGCTGTGGAGACGGTGTCCCTGCCTTGGGCCCCACTCTTCCTGGGCTGGGGCCCAGCATGGGCTCCCATGTAAACTGCCTGACTAGCTAGTCTGTACCAGTTCTTGTGTTACCACCCCCACTATATTTCTAACCACTGCTTTCTCTCTCATCTCTGTCCAATCTGCCCCTTTGGGGACAACGTACTTCCTTCTAGGAGAGAAGAAAGACCAGGTTTGTTTTGCTTATTTCTAGGCGTGCACTGCTAATAAACTCACTGTGCCTGGCAGGCACTATGAGGGAGGGCAGAGTAGGGGGTGATCATGGACTCTTGCTGAGCCTACGTGCAAACAAATACACAGGCACATGATAACCCATGAATTTCCAAAGAATACGAATGCAGTAAAACACACAAACATTATAGTGATATTGAATATACTTTAATCTGCTTTTTATGATTTAGAAGGCTTGAAGTACTTCAGGGTCAGAATTATAAGCATCAATCATCACCACACTACAGCTGCACAGAGGGGCTAGTAAATAGACAGTGCCAGTTAGAAGAATGCCAAGGGAAAAGAATTTATTATGATCTTAGTCAAGCTGCTCATGACAGATGGAGGTCTAGGTCAGCATGTTCTGAGGACAGGATGCAGAATTGGGAAATTCAACTTCGGCTGTCTTTATTCTACAACACTTCTTAAATGTCTAAAAAGTATTAGGCTTCAAGGATACAGAAGTAAATAGGACTGTCACTGGCTTTAATAAATCTGCAGTGGGGACAGGAACCTACCAGCATCTCCAACATCCTTCTCAAGTTCATCTTCCAAACTAGGATGATCCTGCTAAAAATGCAAATCTTACAGCATTCTGTTGCCTAAAATCACTCAACAGCCCTCAATGTCCACATGATAAAGGCAAGCTCTTACATGATCCAGCTCCTGCCTGCATCTTCAATTTCATCTCCAATCACACACATACACACGGTCCAGTTCTCCTGTACAAACTATGCTGACCCGCTGATTCTCTCTATTCTTATTCCATTCAAAATCTACCGAGATGTCACCAAATCTGTGAAACTTTCCTTACTATTCTTCCCAGGTACCACTCTGACCCACACACTTCCATTTGTGTTCATATCACAGTGCATTGAACTTGTTTACATATATTTCCATTACACCAAGTTTCATGAGGATGGGAATTTTCTGTTCATCCTTGTATCCCTGTAGCCTAATAAAGAACTAAAACATAGTGGTGCTCAAGTTATATGTATGAAACTCAAATGAGGAGGGAGGTGATGGATATTAAGCGAAGGTTTCGGAAAGGCAGCAATGCCTGAATCACCTCTATGGTATTACCTGCCACCTGCAGGCATCAAACTTGTTTCTGGAAGTGTCCTGAAGCAACAACCAATCACGTATATGATGTGATTAAAGAGGTGACTTGAAAATGTAAAAGACTATCTCATCCTGAAGAAAGATGATCCAGAATTTTCTTTGTAATTAAAATAAAGTGAGTACAAAAGATCTTGGGTTTAGCCAAAGCAGCTTTCATGAGGAAGGAAAACAATGATCCTTGGAACTCACATAGCAAGCAGACCTTTCTCAACTGAGTCTTAGGAGACTTTGCTCTGGTTGCAGGAACACATATTTATCATATACTGCATTGTGTCAGCTGGTGTGCTATGCACATCACATACATTTGCCATTTAATCCTCGGAGCAATCCTAGGGCAGGCACTATTATGATCCTCATTTTATAGATAATGAAGGGAATCACAGAGATTAAGTCATTTGGTCAAGGTGACACTTTTACAATAAGAGGCTAGGAAGTCAGGCCTCAAAACCCAGGCTCTCAACTACTACACTCCATCTTAAATCTTCAAAGAATAAAAAGTGCTAGCGATAGCTACCAAGACTACTAATACCTGGTCATAACTCCAGAGCAGCAACTCAGACAAAACCCTACTGTAGAAAATTTAAGGTAGATATTGTTTCTAACATTTTCTTCCTGCCAGTTTCTATCTCTATAGGTTTGTTTTCAGATATTGAGCTCCTAGAGGGCAAACACTGTGTTCTTTTAACTTTGTAGAACACTCAATACACAGTTTCTGGCACGTAGAGGTTTGATAACAAGTAGACCTACAGGTTCTCTCCATTAGCAGGGGATGTTTTACTGCTAGAGTTCTGAAACCCCTACACACCAGCACCCATGAAATGACTTAGCAAATAAGTCAAGAGGTGAATTCTTTTATTTAATCAGAGATAAGGAAGGTATGATAGAGGCAAGAGATGAGATAGCAGATAAGTTTCATGACTAGCAGAGAGAGACTGGGCAGATCATGGACTGGAAAAGGATAAGAGGGTGAGGAGGGGGAACAGTGAATGGTTTTTAAAAAGAATCACTTGTTTGGCTTGTTTGTAAAACATGAGTAGTGCTGCAACCATAAGTTGTTTGGAATCTAAAATATGTCTGGAGCATAAGGCAGCAAAAACAGCCCAGAAACACACAAGAGACCTCCCAGGACACTTTGTGATCCCAATTTAAGGAACAGTCTTCTAGTTTTAAGACTTACTTAGCCTAACCAAACAAACACATCGTGATCTCTGGGTACAACTGATCATCACTTAATGACAACTTCTAACACATGCACACATACAAAAAAACAACAAGTTCTACACATTCTACTTTCTTAGTGTATTTGATATCTCCCTCTTCCCAAATCTCCTTCACTTAATTCATGCCTCCATTCAAACATCTCCCTCTCCAACTAAGACTTGTGCAGTAACTACCTGGCTAGGTTTCTCTGCCTCCACTCTTAGCCCTCTATTCTCTCTTTCATACTCACTCAAGAGTGACCTTTCTAAAAGATAAATCCGTTCATGTAATTCCCCTTTAAAATCCTTCCTCAGCGCTCCTCAGCAATGAACGGATCAAGTCCAAGTGCTTGTAGGAAAAAGGAGTCTTGGTGGAGTCTTCACTGTCCATGGTGATTCAGCCCCTGACTACCTTTCTAGCACCTTCCTCCTCCATTGTCCCTAACCCAACAGACTCCCATGCAACCACACGTGACATGTTTTTGTACAAATTGCCACTTCTGCTGGCAATGCCCTTCTTCCGCATCCACTTGATCCAGATCTTAGCACCTGGCAAGACTCCTGCCACCCCTACCCTAGTCTAGTCCTCCTCAACTCCCACGCACTCTGCCAACAGCAGTCTCCCCAGTCATTTGCTCTTATTCTTCTTTGCCCCATTATCTACATGTGATACTAAATTGATTAAACAT